CACACACACACACACACACACACACACACACACACACACACACACACCCCCTGAAGTATGCAAAGCCCAGCACCAACACTGAGTCCAAAACCAAGAAGTAGACTGGAAGGATGAGCAAACATAAAAAGAACTCAACCCTAAAGAGTTATTTTGGTGACAAGGAAGAGAATTATTTGAAAACATCTACAAGTAAAGCCTCAAAGAAAAATGCAACCTGAACAAAAGTCCAACAAGAATCCCTAGAACAATTAAAGCAATAAGTTTTTGTTTCTGTTTTTAAAACTAAAAATGCTGGCCTCAGACCAAACACTTGACACTTACTAGCTGTATGACCCTGGGCAAGTCACTTAACCCCAATTGCCTAACAAAAACCCAAAAACTAAAAATGATTTTAAGAAACAAATGAGAGCTACAAAAAAAAAAAAGATAGAAAAAAAATAATTAGTAGCTTAGGAACAGAGATTTAAAAATCTCACTGAAGAAAATAACTCCTTAAAGATTAGACTCACCAAATGGAAGCTAATGACTCCATGAGACATCAAGAAACAATAAAATAAAGTAAAAGACTGAGGAAAAATAGAAGAAAATGTGAAATATCTCAAAGGAAAAAAACTGACCTGGAAAACAGATTGAGGAGAGATAATTTAAGAACCTGACAGCTATGAACAGCAACAAAAAGAGACTAGACGTCATATTTCAAGAAGTCATAAAAGAAAACTGCCCGGATATTCTAGAACTAGAAGGCAAAACAGAAACTAAACGAATCCCCTGATCACCTCATTAAAGAAACCCCAACATAAAAACTGTCAGGAATAGAATACCCAAAATCCAGCACTCCCACGTCAAGGAAAAAATATGCAAGGAACCAGAAAAAAAGAATTCAAGTACGCACACACAAGAGACACAGTCAGGATCACTCAAGATTTAGCAGCCACCACTATAAAGATACAGAGGAAAAAAATAAAATAAAGATACAGAGGGCTTGAAATGGGATATCCAGAAGGCAAAAGAGCTAGGCTTACAAGTCACAAACAAATGCATAAAAGCAGAAACATTCAATGCATCTCTTCTGACCATAATGTAATAAAATTACGTTCAATAAAGGACCTTTGAAGCAGAGATTAAAAATTAATTGGAAGCTAAATAGTTTAATCCTAAAGAATAGATGGGTCAAAGAACAAATCATGGAAAGAATCAATAATTTCATTAAAGATAATGACAAAAATGAGACAACACCCCAAAATGTGTGGGACACAGCCAAAGCAATACTTAAGGGAAAAATTCTCTTTCTAAATACTTACATCAATAAAAGAGGAAATATAGAGGGAAATAAACTGACCAGAAGAGTGACAACAAATGAAAACAACATTGAAAGACAAGCAGGGGCAGCTAGGTGGCGCAGTGGATAGAGCACCGGCCCTGGATTCAGGAGGACCTGAGTTCAAATCCGGCCTCAGACACATAACATTTATTAGCTGTGTGACCCTCGGCAAGTCACTTAACCCCATTGCCTAGCCAAAATAAAAAGAAAAAAGAAAAAAGAAAGAAAGACAAGCAGATTCTGCCCAAATATAATGGCCAATGTTGGCTCCAGATGGCCGAGATCAGAACAGCCTTCCTTCCTTTCCTGTTAAAAAATGGTGCCTTTGGAAGAGTGGAAAGCTGCGTGTGCTCTTGGGCACAATTATTTTATTTATGGCTAGCATATATCTAGCACTTTTTAAGGTTTGCAAAGGACTTCACAGACATTCTCTCATTTTATCCGAAAACAAATCTGAGGGAATCTTATGTCTTACAGATAAGGACAAAGGTCTGGCCACTATCAGAGGTGGGATTCAAACCTAGGTTTTCTCGACCCAAAGTTCAGTCCCCTAGCCTCATATGCCACATGAGGACACGAATGCCCATTATACAAGGTTAGCCTCAGAGAAGAGCTGAAGAAAGGCATCTTTGCAGAAGCGTGGGACTAGGGGTGTGGAGTATGTTGTACACTATCAAACACAGTTAATGGGCTGGTTGCTTGTGATGAACTCATTGATTTTTTCCTTTCCTTTTTTTTTCTTTCTTTTGGGGGGGGGTGAGGCAGTTGGGGTTCAGTGACTGGCCCAGAGTCACACAGCTAGGAAGCGTTATGTGTCTGAGGCTGGATTTGAACTCAGGTCCTCCTGACTCCAGGGCCGGTGCCCTATCCACTGTGCCACCTCGCTGCCCCTTTCCTTTTCTTTTTTTAACCTTTGTTACAAGGAGTGGCTTACTGAGGAGTGGAGGGAGAGAGATATTCAGAAATGATGGTGATGTAAAAACAAGAGATAACAAGATGAAAAATCAGATGTGTATACTAACTTTTACAAGATGGTAAGAACACTGGCTTCTTTGCTCCCCTAGCCCTGTTCTCTTTTGATTTTGTGTGTTTCTCTGAACTGTGCTGATGTCATTATTGTTAACCCACTGCCAGTACGCCTTGGAATCAGGAAGGCCTGGGTTCCCGTCCGTTCTCTGACACACAGTGACTCCGTTACCCTAGACAAGTCCCTGAACCTCTCAGTGCCCTGGGCTCCAGAGAAAATCCCGTCCTGCATTGCTAGCAGAAGGCCCTCACCAGCACCTCCCTGCACCAATGAAGCCACAGATTCAGCTCCCAGAAAATATCACCATCATTATTGGTAATTCACCCAATGGCAAGTTATTATCATTACTGTTAGCGCTCCAGCCTCGTCCTCCAGCCAGGACGGCTAAGCCTGTAAGTTGTAGATGGGCTGCAGTCTACAGTGGGGGCGGGAGAAGTTGCAGGTCATGGGCGGGCAGTTCCACGATGTCTTACCCTTACATGAGCACCCCAGCATTCTTGTTCACGGATACTGGGCTTACAGTGAAGGGGACCTGAGCTGGAGGCGATGGTGGGGCCGATGCGAGCCCCCCACTCCCCGGCCTCAGCTCAATCCCAGACCCACCTGTTTCACTGGCTTCCCTGCCCTCGGGGGGCTCCACGTCCAAGGGGCCTCCCAAGCTCTCGGTGCTGCCGGCTCCCTCGGCCCCAGGTCGGGGTCCCCCTTCCCTCTTGTGTCTCATCAGCTTTTTGACTTTGTCTGCCAGCCAGCTGCCTTTCCTTGTGGGGAGGAAGAAGGCACAGAGATGGGGTCCGGGGAACAGGGTGGCCAGGGGTCCCGGAGGACCAGAGGAAGATGGGGTAGTGAAAAGGACCCAAGGCTGTGGGCACCTCAGGCCAGGGCACAAGGGGAAGGCCCCTGAAGCAGAAGTGGGTCAAAGGTCAAGGCCAAGGTCAGAGGGGAGGACTCACTTGGTCCGGGGCAGGGGTCCCGGCTCCAGCACTCGGTACTGGTCCATGATCTTTTCCACCAATTTCTGTTTTTCTCGTCTCAGAGCATTGAGCTGGTCCCTGCAAAGAGACAGGAATTGTGGAGGGGCTCAGAAAGGAGGGAAAAGTCACAGGGTCGCAGACCTAGAGCTGGAAGGGACCCACGCCCTCCTATGACAGAGGAGGAAACTGAGGCCCAGAAAAGTGAAGGAACTTGCAACAGAATTCTAGAAAAGTTCAATTTGGCAGACTCTGCTCAGACATAGACAGTATCTGCGGCGGGATCTGAACCCAGGTTTTTCTGACTCCAATGTGAGAGCTCTCTCCACTGTACCCCCACTTCCCAGGGAGGCATGAGAGCCAGGCAGGTTGCGATGGGAAGTCTAGGGGTCTGAGTGAAGACCAGGGAGGGGGGCTGGGGAGCGGGGCAGGATGGACCAGGTCGGGGGAGGGGAGCCCTCACAGGTACTCCCGCTGCTCTCTGTGCAGGTGGTCCCGGCTCTCCAGGCTCCGCTCCATGAGACCCCGGTTCTCCCGGCTCAGTGTCTGCACCTCGGCGAGCAGTTGCCGATTCTCCTCCTCTTGGGCGGCCCTCAGCTCGGTCAGCAGCTGCGCCCCCAGCCCAGACCAGAAGAGATGAGTGATGGTGAGGCCCGAGGCCAAGCCCACAGCCCAGCTTCCCCACGACCCTGAGCCCCACCTGGCACTGTGTGGTCAGCCGGCAGACACTGAGGTCCAGCTTTTGGTTGGTCTCGCGGAGGCCCTGGCCCTGGGCCTCCAACTGCGCCCGCTCCAGCTCCAAACGGGCCAGTCTGCCCCGCAACTCACCCCGTTCACCCTGCAGCTCACCTCGCTCCCTGGAGGCATCGGCCAAGGACACCTGGGCCCTGTGAGGATGAGGCGTGAGCAGGGAGCAGCGCTCCCCTCCTCCTCTCCCTGGGCCAGCCTCCCGCCCCAGACAGACCCAAGGGATGCTTTCTGGGGACCAGGATGCCCAGGGCCCACTCTCTGCAGGGAAGGGAAAGGGTCTTCACCAGCCCAGGGAGACTAAGGCCAGAGCATGGGGAACCAAAGGGGCTGGATTGTGACTCAGCTAGAGGACGGCACCTCTCGTGCTCGCTCTGTAGCCGACGGAGCTCCTCTTCCAGGCCCTTCTGGTGCAGCCTGTCCTGGGCCAGCCTCTCTCGCTCCGCCTGCAAAGCCACCTCCTGGGCCTCCACCTGGGCCCTTTGGGCCTGCAGCTGCTCATACCTGCAGGTTGGAGGGTGAGGAAACTGAGGCAGGTGTGTGAAGGAAACACACCCCCACGGACAGGGTGGGGACAAAACTGAGATCCTTCAAAGGGTAGGAGGGCAGGACCAGAGCCATTCCTGGGCCTCAGTTTCCCCATCTGCCTAAGGAGAGTAGACGACATGATAACTGACATTTTCGATAGAATGTAAGTTTCTCAATGGAAGGAACTATGTCTTTGTCATCCCTTTATATCCTTAATGGGCAGCCAGGTGGCTCAGTTGATAGAGCACCAGGGCTGGAGTTGGGAAGGTTCATCTCCCCAAATTCAGATCCTACCTCAGATGCTTACTAGCTCTGGGACCCTGGGCAAGTCACTTAACCCTATTTGCCTCAGTTTCCTCATCTGCAAAATGAGCTGGAGAAGGAAACGGCAAGCCCTCTAGTATCTCGGCCAAGAAAATCCCAAATGGGATCAAAAGAGCCAGACACACCTGAAGAAACTGAACCACAATATATCCTGAGAACCTAAGAAGGGCCTTTATGCATAATAGGCGCATAATAAATGCTGATGGGACCAGCTGGTTCGCTAAGACCGTGGAGAGCTAATGCTGGAAAGGACCGTAAGGGCCATCTAGTCTGACCCGAACTGGCTCACTCAGGGCCGCTCAGTGAGGATTGTTAGAAGCAAGGATCAAAGTCCCTTCCTGACCCCAAGTCCGGCTCTCTTTCCACCACCCAGCACCGCCTCTCCTGGCAAACCATCTTTCTCAGTTTCTCAGAGTTGCTAATGATCTCATGATTGCCTGATCCAATGGCCTCTTCCCTATCATCCTTCCTGACCTCTCCTCGGTCTCTGCCACCACTGTTCATTCCTCCTGGATACTGCTCTCTCCTGGATTTCCTCCCACTCCCCCAACCTTTCCTCCTCAATCTCATAGGCTGGATCTTCATCCACATCGTGCAGCTAATCACAGGTGTCTGCCAAGACCCTCTTCTCAGCCCTCTTCTCTTCTCCCTCTGCACTCGTCAGCTCCCATATCATTTCCTTTCTTTTCTTTTTTCTTTTTTTTTTTTTTTGGTTAGGCAATGGGGTTAAGTGGCTTGCCCAGGGTCACACAGCTAGTGTCGTGTGTCTGAGGCTGGATTTGAACTCAGGTCCTTCTGACTCCAAGGTCGGTGCTCTATGCACTGCACCACCTAGCTGCCCCTCGATGATCACTTCTATTCAGACAGCTCCCAGATCTACACAGCCAGCCCTAACTTCTCTCCTGAGCTCCATCATCCCACGTCACAAAGTGCCTAGTGTCCATTTTAAACTGGATGAGTCCCATAGACGTCTCGAACTCAACATGACCCAAACACAACTCATTGTCTCCCCCTAGTCCTGATTTTCCCGTGACTGTCACGGATCCTCCCAGGCATACTGGCTCATAATCCCGCGGTCATTCTCGCCTCTTAAAACTGGCCAGTCGATGCATCGCCAAGTCCTAGGCATTAGAGTTTCGCAGTATCTCCTCCTGTCCACTCACAGCCCCTCCTAACAACAGCCTCCTCCCTGACCACCGTCTCACCCTCCATCCTCCACGCAGGTCCTGAGGTGCCCCCACGCTCGGCAGACTCCCATGGCACCATGCTACCTTCACAGTCAAGCACCAACTTCTCTGACTGTCACCGAGAGCTCTTCACAACCCGGCCCTTTCCTATACTTTCAGACTCCCCAGACGTTATTCTCCTCCACGCACTGTCCAGGGCAGACGTCGTGGCCTGCCCACCGTTCCTCACCCGGCGTGCCTCTGCATCGGCTGCTCCCATGCATGGACCGCTCCCCTCCTTCGCTCTGCCGCCAAGCGTGCCCCGGCTGTGTCGGCCGGTTCACGTGCCACCTTCTGCAGGGGGTCTCTGTCGATCCCCCCACCGCCAGCCGCTAATGCCCTCCCCTCTACAGCCACAGAATTATCTTGCCTAGACTTCTCTACCTGTCATCTCCTCTACGGGGAGGTAAGCTCCTCGAGTTGAGGGCAGGGGCTGCTTGTGCTCCCCTTTGCCTGCCCGGAGCCTGGCCCACAAGAAGCACTTTATCAATGTCAGCTGATTAGCCGACAGATTTTACGTCCCCCAGGGGGCTGGGGCAGGGGGCTCGGCTCACCTGCCCTGCAGCTCCTTGTGGGACAGCTCTAGCTCCCGCAGCGTGGCCTTCAGCTCCCGGTGGCGGCCCAGGAGCCCCTCCAGCTCCACCTCCTGCCGCTGCTGCAGCCGCCCCAAAGCCTCGTGGTCCCTTAGCAGCGCCTGGTGCTGGAGCCACGCGGCCTCCTGTTCCTGCCTCGCCCCTCGCATCTCCTTGTCCAGAGCCCCCAGTCTTTCCCGCAGCTCTTGGCCCTGTGTCTCCAGCACAGCCTTCTCTGCCTGAGGGTGTGTCAGGAAGGAAGGGGAAGAGGAAGAGAAGGAGTACAGGTAGTAATCATCCTAGGGCACCATAATGGTCAGAATCACAGACAGGGCGACTGAGGCCTCCGGAGTGAACTGAGCACACAGGTAAGCGGGCTCACTGATCGCAAGCTGGAAGGGGCCTGCCTCTCAAACCAGCTGCTGGAACTTCTCTTTGGTTGTTTTTTAGGTTAAGTGACTTGCCCAGGGTCACACAGCTAGTAAGTGTCAAGTGTTTGGTCTGAGGCCAGATTTGAACTCAGGTTCTCCTGACTTCAGGGCTCTATTCAAACTCCTCATTTTAGGGAGGAAAAAGCCTGAGGTTCAGCTAAGTGCCCCAGGTTCCACAGGGATCCAGTGCCAGAGAGGAGACTGAAGTCCAATAGACCAGCAAGGAGGCCATAACAACATAGTAGGATGTTTATCTGAGGAACGCAGGCGGTTCAACGTGAGGAAGACGACAAATATAACCAACCATTTTAATAACACACATTTTTAAATGACGTGATTTTATCAATACATGCTGAAAAGGCTTTTGACAAAATCCGACATTCATTTCTATTCAAAAACCGGATAAACCATAGAAATAAACAGCCCTTTCTTTAATATAGCAAGTAGTAATCATCTAAATCCAAAAGCAAATGTTGCATGTAATGGAGGGTAAAGTGAGGACACACATTATCACCAGTAGTGTTAGAAAATGCTAGCTGTAATGGACAGCTAGGTGGCACAGTGTACAGAGCTCTGGCCTTGGAGTCAGGAGGACCTGAGTTCAAATCTGGCCCCAGACACTTGACACTTACTAGCTGTGTGACCCTGGGCAAGTCACTTAACCCTGCTCTCCTCACCAAAAAGCAAAAAAAAATTTGAAAATAAAAATTAAAAAATAAAATGCTAGCTGTAGCAAAAAGACAGAAAAAGGAAATTGAGGGAATACGCATAGGGAGAGAGGAAACAAAATATCATTTTTGCAGGTGATATAATGGTGTAGTAAGAGAGTCATCCAAAAATTAATTTAAATAATTAATAACTTCAGTAAAGTTGAACGATGTAAGATAAATCCATATAAATCATCAGCATTATACAACCCACAAAACACAAGGAAGAAGAACTAGGAAGAAAAATTCCATTCAAAATAAATACGGAAATTATTAAATACTTGGAAGAGTATATTACAAGATTCACCCAGATACTACAGGAATCTAACTGGAAAACACTCTGCAGAAATAAAGACAGACCACCAGGTACGGTGACCCATAGCTATAATCCCTGCTCCCGGGGAAACTGAGGCTGGCGTACCACCTGAGCTCTGAGGTTCTAAGAGGCAGTGGGCTAGAGCAAAGGGAGAGCTTTCCAAGTCTGGCACCAAAAATGTGGAGTCACTGTTGGGGGAGGGGGCACCAGGCTGCCTAAGGAAGGATGGAACAGCCCAGCTGAAATCAGAGTAGGTCAAAGTCTCTGTGCCAATCAGCAGTGGAATCAGGACACTGCCTTTCCAGCCTGGGCAAGATAGAGAGACCCAATCTTAAAAAAAAGAAATTTTTTTTAAATTAAAAAATAAAAAAGGAAAGGAGGGAAGAAAGAGAAAGAAAGAAGCCTAAATAGAGAAACATTCACTGCTCGTGAGTAGGTGGAACCGATATAATAAAAAGGACAATACTAACTAAATTTATTTATTTATTTAGTCAGTACTGTACCAAACTCACAAAAAAATTATAGGGCTAGAAAACAGTAACAAAATTCATAAGGAGGAACAGAAAGTTAAGAATCTCAAGGGTAATAATGAAAAAAGTAGGAGTAGGAAGGAAGGGATTCTATCAGTATGGCATCTCAGACATAGCAGTATGGGATCTCAAAGCAGCAGTCATTAAAATGATTGGGTACTGGTTTAAAAAAAAAAAAACAGTGGGACAGATTAAGTAGACCACATACAAAGGCAAACAAACACAGAAGCATCCTGTTTCATAAACTCAAAGACCTCAGTTACTGAGGAAACTATCTGACAAAAACGGTTGGGAGAACGGGACAGCAGAAACTCGTTTTCGAACAGCATCTCCCACCATACACCAAGGTAGGCTCCCAATGAATACATGACTTTAGATACCAAAAGTCACATCAGGAACAAGTTAGAAGAACAAGGAAGAAATTACCTCATTGATCTACGGAAAGGAAAAGTCTTCCTGACCAAACAAGTGATAGATGATCACCCCAGATAAACTGGACCGTTTTTGATTACAGTAAATTTAAAATTATTTGCATAAACAAAGCTAATACAGTAAAGATTAAAAAGGGAAAAGTAATTAGGAAAAAAAATTCTTGCAACGAGTTTCTCTCATTTCCAAGATATAAATGGAACTGACTGAAATTTCTTTTTCCTTTTTTTTCTTTTTTTGGCTAGGCAATAGGGTTAAGTGACTTGCCCAGGGTCACACAGCTAGTAAGTATTACGTGTCTGAGGCCAGATTTGAACTCAGGCCCTCCTGAATCCAGGGCCGGTGCTCTATCCACTGCGCCACCTAGCTGCCCCTCTGACTCAAATTTCTAACACTGAGAGTCATTCCCCAATAGGTAAATGATCAAAGGATATGAGTGGGTCATTTCCAAAGCAAGAAATTCAAGCTACTAACAACTATGCTCTATATCACTCACGATTAGAAAAATACAAATTAAATTTGAAGTTCCATCTCACTCTTACCAGATGAGCAAAGATAATTAAAGAGGAAAATGACCAATCATGGAGGGGCTATGGAAAACTAGGTACATGTATACACTGTTGGCAGAGCTGTGAATCAATTGGTCCAGTCCTAGAAAGCAATTTGGAACTACGTCCAAAAAAATTACCAAACTCTGCATGTCCTTTGACCCAGCTAAACCACTACTAGGCCTATGCTCCAAAGAAATCAAAGTAAGAGGAAAAGAATCTATATGTGCAAAAATATATTTGTAGCAGCTCTTTTTGTGGCCACCAAAAAGCGGAAATTAAGGGGGTTTCCTCTTGGGGAATGGCTAAACATATTATGGTACATGTATGCAGTGGAATTCTGTTGCGCTATTTAAAACAGATGCAGAGGGAAGCCAGCAGAGCCAGAAGGACACTTTATACAATAACAACATTATAGAACAAAAGGACTTTGAAAGACTTTAGAACTCTGATCAAGGAAATCGTAATGCACGAGGCCAAGTGAAGGAAGATGAAAACACTTCTCACCTCCTGAAAAAGGTGATAACATTAAAATGCTGAAAGAGACATGCATTTTCTGACAAGGCTAATGTGTGAATTTTTTGGTGAGGTTTTTGTTTTATTTTTGAAAATGTGCTTGATGGAGGGAAGGGGAGAGGGACAGATTAATTTTTAAAGTACATGTTACTTGAAAATTTTAAAAAAACAATTTTTAAAATAAGGGAGAAAAAAGTCTCCGGAGGCTGTGAGACCAGGACAGAGGTCAATGGGACTGACCATCCATCACCTTTATTCCTGGATTCTGCGCTTTCCTTAATGGAGAGAGACAGGAAGAGGGAAGGGAGGAAGGGGCAGAGAGATGGAGGAGGTGATAGGGAAGGGAAGAAGATGAAGGCTGAAGAGGGTCATGGGGTCATAGACCCAGAGCCAGAAGGGTCCTCCCTGGGTGGGCCCGGGAGAGGGGACTCACCTGGAGCTGGCTGCTCTGCTCCTGGGCCCGATGATTCTGCAGCTGCAGCTCCTGGACCCGTCCCTGCAAGGTCCCCACCTGGCCCTCCAGCTGCCTCATCTGCCCCTGCAGGGCAGCCTTCTCAGCTGCCAGGGCTGCGTTCTGTCCAGGGAGGAGAAGCGTGGTCGGGTCACGTCAGCTCACCCACCTGTCCCAGCACAGCCATGCCCAGACCCCAACTCACACTGCGCTCCACCATGATGAGCCGCCCGCTCAGTGTCTCCTGGACCGCCTGCGCCGCAGCGGGGCATTCCTTGGCTCCCCCTGGCCCCGGGGGCTCCTCTGCCTTCAGCCCCAAGGAAACCTGGCACTGGAGCTGCAAGCAGAAGACCCCCACAGGCTCAGCTCTAGGAGAAGGAGGAGAGCCCAAGGGGGGTGCACAGACCAAGATCCCAGGCTCAGATTGCACCCTCCTGCCACCCCGTCAGCTCCCACCTTGGCCCACGCTCCCATCATCTGTCACCTGCACTACTGCGGCAGGCCCCCTCTCCAATCCATCCTCCATTCTGCTGCCAAAGGGATCTGCCCAAAGCTTGGGTCTGACCAGGCCAGGCCCCTTCTCAGTAAACCCTGATGGGCCCTGGGGTTTGGCATTTAAAACTCCCCACAACCTGGCCTCGACCTGCCATCCCAGCTTTCTCTCCCATTGCTCTCCTGTGCACGCTAGAATTAAGCCAAACCAGACTTCTCTCTACCCAGTCTTCTCACCCAAGCCTGAAGTGCTCTCTCCCCTAAACTCCACATCCTAGAACGCCCAGTGCCCTTCAAAGCTCACCTCTCCTCTTCCACCCTGCCCCCCACCCCACAGGTGCAAGCATGTCCTCTCGACCACTCTGTATCCATGTACATGCATACGTGCATAATCTACATGCAGACACTCATACATACACATGTACATGCTGTCTCTCCCAATAAAATGTAAACTTCTTAAGGGCAGGACCTGATTCCAGCACCTACCGCGGCGTCTGACACATAGACACAATCAATAAATGCTTATCAATCAACTGATCCATCGATCAACTCAACTAGGGACTGTAATTGTAATTAACCATTGAATGTAATTAACGCTACAAAAGGGGCCACACACTCAAAAGTCATGTGCTTCATTACTGGAAACTGTGGGGGCCGCTCCCTAGACCACACAACCACGTAGGGACTGGCCAGGCGTCAGAAGGATGCTCTAGAAGGAGGGGAATCCCGAGAGGCGGGCATGTTCCTGGCAGACTTTGCCCCAAACCACAACAGTGAACATTCAATGGGCCATGGAGGTTTGCAGAGCTCTGCCCACGTCTTTCCCACTCATGCCTTACAGCAGCCCCTCTGACTTACAGAGCCCCGGGGGACAAAACTAGATCCAATGGCGGGAGGTTACAGGGAGACCACGTTTTTTGTTCAGCGTCTCTAAAAGCGAATTGGGCAGCCCTCAGTTTGGTGATGCCCTTATGTCCGTAGGTCTTCGAGCAGAGCTTGAAGGATGCTTTGCGGTTGGTTAGGGTGGGGCTAGGTGACCTCTCAGGTCCCTTCCATATAGTAGATATAGTAGACAGAGCTCTGCTGCCTGGATTCAAAGGACCTGGGCTCTCACGCTACCTCTGACACATACCTCCCAGCCAGCCTGGAGCAAGTTAAGGAAGCTCTCAAGACACCAGTTTCCTCATCTACCAAATGAGGGGCTTAGACTAAATGGCCTCAGAGGGCTTTTCCACCTTCACACCTATGGTCCTATAAAGGCCAAGTCTAGGAAAACAAAGGCATGGATGAGGAATTCTGAGAAACTCGTTCAGTTGTTTCAATTGTGTCTGAATCTTCATGACCCCATTCGGCCTTTCTTGGCAAAGATACTGGAGTGGTTGGCCATTTCCTTCTCCAACACATTTCACAGATGAGGCAACTGAGGCCAGCAAGGTGACGTCACTTGCCCAGGGTCATACAGCTAGTAAGTGACTGAGGCCAGATTTGAACCCAGGTTTTCCTGACTCCAGGTCTGGCACTCTATCCACTGTGCCACCTAGCTGCCTAAACTTTAAGTCTAGGAAATGAAGGGATGAATGAGGAATTCTGAGAAACATGAGAAGATCTATATGAACTGATACAGAGTGAAGTAAGCAAAGTCAAAAGGATGACAGACACAATGACCACAACAACATAAATGAAAAGATCACTAAAATGACACCAAGAGAGGCAACTGAAAAACCATTAGGGCCTAGAAAACAGGTGCTGAAGCCTCCCTTGTCTCTGAAGAGAGGTGGGGGGCTAGGGGGGCCGAATGCTGAATACATTGACTCTTTGTCTCAGTTGTCTTTGCTGAACTGTTTCTGTGACAAGGTCATACTCAATGAAGGGGGAGGTATTATATCGAGAAATTACAATGATATAAAAATAAAAGCCATCAATAAAACTTATTTTTAAAGTTAAATTAAGAAAATGAAGGGCTACACTGTGCAATGACTGACTTTGATAGACTTGGCTTTTCTCAGCAATTCAAGGATCTAAGACAACTCCAAAAGACTCACGATGGAAAATTCCATCCACATCCAGAGAAAGAACTTAGGAGGCTGAATGCGGTTGGAAGCACACCATTTGTTCTCCTTTTCCTTTGTTGTTTTGTTTTATTGCTTCTTTCTCGTGGTTCCTCCCATTAGTTCTAATTATTCTTTACATCATGACTAATGGGAAAATATATTTAATATGAATGAATATGCAGAGCCTATATCAGACTGTACGCCATCTTGGCGGGGAGGGAGGAAGGGGGAGAAAACTTGGAACTTAAAATCTTATGGAAGTGAATGTTGAAAACTAAAAATAAATTAATTAATTATTTTTAAAAAGAAAGAAAGAAAATTAAGGGCTAGAAGGTGGTAAGGAGGAAAATGCAAGGAGGGAAAGGGGAGTCCCTCGAGAGGAGGGTCATGACTTCTCACCTGACCCTCCAGGCCCTGGACCCTGGCCTTTAGAGACATGATTTCCTCATCTTTGGTGGCCAAGGCAACCACACTCTCTTCTTCCAGACGCTTTTCCAAAGCTTGGTATGTCCTGCCGAGGAACAGAGGGAGGAAGGACATCACATACCCCCCGAACCTAAGGCTAAACTCTCTGCTATCCCCCCCAGCCCCAAGCCCCAGGCCCAAAATCACAGTGTTTCAGAGTGAGAGGGAACCTCAAAGCCCATTGAATCCAAGCCGTACCTGGACAGGGATCCCCTCTAAAACATCCCCAATGAGAGGCCATGCAGCCTCTGCATGAACACCTCCAGAAACGGGTCCTCACTACCTCCTGAAGCAGCCCATTCCACATGGGACAACTCAGATGGTAGAAGTCTGTCCTGACGTCGAGTTGAAATGTGCCTTTGCTGGGCTGCCCCCGCACCACCGCAGGGCTGACCTTCCTTCTTTCTGCCTCCCCTCCCTCCATCCCGTCTCCATTCCCCATATCCCTCCTGGGCCCAGCCCCACCTCTCCTGGTGCTTCTCCTGCTCTTTCAGCTGCGTGTCTCTCTCCTGGGTCACCTGCCCAAGCTCCAACTGCAGCCTTTCCACCTGGGTTTTCAGCTGCTGACTCTCAACTGCGGCCTTCTGGAGCTCCTGGTGACCAAAGGTTAGGAGGTGAGCACCAGGACGGGGAGCCCAGCCAACCACCATTCCATGCAATCTAGCTTAGGGAAAGGAGTCCAGGAGGCCCTGCTAGACAAAGGCAGGCCAGAGAGCTGTGGGAAGAAGGCTGGACCAAAAGGAGGGGGAAGGTGCAGCCAGGACAGGCCTCAGACTGGACATCTCAAGACACGGCTGACAGTCCCTGCAGGACCCTTACCATGAGCCTCAGTTTCCCCATCTTCCAAATGAGAGGCTGTGACTAGGTGATTCCTTCAAGGTCCCTTCCAGCCCTGACATTCTATGACCCCCAGAGTCTGAGTTTCCCCGTCTGTAAAAGCCCGACAGCAGCCTCTGCTGTGTCCATCTCGCTACCGAGTGGGCCCGAGCAAAATATCAGCACTTAGCACAGTGCCTGGCACAGAGTAAGCACTTAAGAAACGTTTATTGACTGGCTGAATTAAGGGAGGGAGGAGTAGGGCCTCCTAAACTGTTAAGTGCTGCAGTGTCTTGTAAGAGCACCAGACCTGGCGCCATGAGAACCTGGTTCAAGGTCCGGCTCAGGCACGATTAAGCAAGCAGATCTCAGGGAGCAGCGAGGCACCTGAACACGAACCCCCTCTCTAGCAGCCCCATCAACTGACCAGCTGCCTTGAGGACCTAGAGGGCCATACTTGGGGACCTAGGGGGCCACACTTGAGGACCTAGAGTCCACAGGTTCCCTACCCCTGAATTCTAACCTCTTCTTGCAACCCCTAGTGAGGCAGCAACTACAGAATCCCTTAGACTCTGGAGGCCTGAATTTGAATCCTGACTCTGCTACGTAGTAACTGTGTTGTTTCTCCCATCATTACGGCTTATTCTGCTTACACCCAGAAGGCAGAAGGGAAAGGGGGAGGGCAGAGAGGCAAATTTCCCCTCCATAGGGAAAATCTTCTGATCAACTATACAAAATTGGTTTGGAGTTGAGGACAGGAGGGGAGGGGAGGGGAGAGGAGGTGAAGAAGGTCATTGAGGCATCTCTTTTTAAAACTGCAGAGAGAGGCAGCTAGGTGGCGCAGTGGATAAAGCTCTGGCCTCGGAGTCAGGAGGATGAGTTCAAATCCAGCCTCAGACACTTGACACTTACTAGCTGTGTGACCTTGAGCAAGTCACTTAACTCTGATTGCCTCACGAAAAAAAAAAAAAAGATGATTAAAACTGCAGAGAAGAAAGGACTGAAGGAAGGCCAGAAGGAAGCACAGACTAGAAGGACAGCTTTGAAAGCTGCAGGAGGAGTTTATAACAAGAGATGCAGAGTTTCCTGCACAATCCTCTTTTTCAGTCCTACTATGCATATGGAAATGCTGATTTTCTTTTACTATAAGCTCAGAATGAAAATTTTTTTTCTTAAAAAAGGACTAGTCTAGTTCCCTATTGTACAGATGGAGAAACAGAGGCCTGATGGAAAATGACCAGTCCAAGGCTGCCCAGCTGGTCAGCGGCAGAGCTCCTCCATCTGGACCCAGTGCTCTTGTGTCTACACCGCACGGCACCGGTCAGTGAAGGGAGAGAGGAGGCACGGCTAGTCTAGCCTACCTGGTGGAGCTGGTGGTCCTCAAGAAACAGAGGAACAAGAGTGAGAGGGGATCAGCCAGGCGGTGGCCAGAGACGGGGATGACGGATTCCGTTACCTTTCTCACGGCCTCCACCACCTGCCGCTCCTTCTCAGCCTGACCCCGCAGGGCTCTCTCTTCACTCTCCAGCTCCAGCAGCTTCTGCTCAGCCGCCTCTGCCCGGGCCCGCAGCCTGGGGCCCTCGCGTTCCCACTGCCTTCGCTCCCGGCCAGCAGCTCCCAGAGCCTCGGCCAGAGCCTCTCGCTCCCGCCCTGCGGCCTCCAACTCTCGCCCAGCAGCCTCTAGGGCCTCTCGGAGCCCCTCTCGCTCCCGAGCCTCAGCCTCGGCCTCAGAGTGTGCCTCGGCCTCAGCCTTCCTAGCCCGGGCCAGCTCCTCCCCGAGCCGGGCAGCCTCCTCTCCCCGGGCCTCCAGCCTCCTCCCCTGGGCCTCCAGCTCACCCCGAAGGGTCTCCCGCTCATGCCGAAGGCTCTCCAGCTCCCTTTCCAGAGCATCCAGCCTCTGTCCCTGGACCTCCTGCTCTTCTCTCCAAGCCTCACGCTCCCCATTCAAGGCCTTCAGTCTCTGTTCCCCAGCCTCCACTTCTCCCTTCAGAGATTCGCGTTCTTTCTCCAAAGCCTCCATGGCCCTCTTCAGACTCTCTATGTCTCCTTTCAGCGCCTGCTGTTCCCTTTCCCAGTCCCCATCTTCCCCTGCTTGCCCCTCCTGAACCTGGACCTCACACTCCAGTCTCTGCTCTTGGACCACGGGCTTGACTTCTCCATGTTCCTCGTCTCCCTGCACCGCCTCCAGCCTTGGACTGGGAGGCTGGCCCCCCGGCTGCCCCTCACTCTGCCGTTCCAAGGGTTTAGGCTGAGCACTCGAGGCCTTGCTTTTCAAGTCCCCAGCCTCCGTTTCCCCTTGGAGGGAAATCTCTCCTCTTAGACTCTTCCCGTGGAGCTCTTCTTGGACAGCTTTCCCTTTCGACTGCTGCTGAGTCAAGGCCAACGCATCCAGGTCCTGAGATCGGACTGGTTTCCCTGCTTCCCCAGAGGCATCTGGAGAGTCTGAGGGCCTGCTGCACTCCAACACAGACCCTTCTGAGACTGGGAGAGATTTTCCATGACCGTCACCAAGAGAGGCCAACACCGGTGGGGGCTCATTCTTCGTCTTTGGGATATCTCGGAGCCCTGAGGGCTCCAGGACCTGGTTGCGTTCCTCCAGCTTGGGGACCTCTGACTCTTCATCTTCCACCTCAGTTAAGGGAGGCTGGAGAAAAAACAAAAACAAAACAAAAACATGGAAGTAGACAAGACATCAGAGAGGGAGGGTAGGGAAGGAGAGGGCTCAGTGGCTTAGGAACTGGGCCCAGTGCGGAGGCTGAGAGCCATTGAGAGCATACCTGGCTCCATCTCCCTGCCTTCAGCTCCCGAAGCTGGCCTCGAAGCTCCCGGTTCTCTTGCTCCAAGCTCCGGAGACGCCCCACCTCCACCTCTCGCACTTCGTCCTGCAGTGAGGGGGCCCAGCAAGGCTGCGGTGCTGGGGGAGGGAGAAGGGGGTAACGTCAGGATCTCAGAGATCCTGAGCCCCACTCATCAGAGGCCCACAGCTGCAGCTCTCACACCCAAACGTGAGCACAGATTCCTTGGCAGCCACGTGAGGAAGAGTGGTCATCTTAACTGAATAAGCCTTGCCTAGAGAGCCGAGGCTCTGACCAAAACGTCTTCACCTTTGTCACCACATTGGCTCAAGCAAGAGAAGGAGAGTCCCAGATTTAAACACAGACAGAGGCAGAGCTGGAACTAGGAAAGGGTGACCGGAGTTCGGTCCTAGGGCAGCAAAATTTAGCAAATGCAAAAACTGAACGCATGCCCTCCTACAGCTCTAACCCGGTGCCTGACACATAATAATCACTTAATCAATTCTTCCTGACTGACTGACACCAATGGTGCAGAAACAATCAATCTTGGTTACTAAGTGAGCCCACTACTTCACAAGAATAATTAGTTAAAGGGCCCGCTAGGTGGCGCAGTGGATAGAGCTCCGGCCTTGGAGTCAGGAGGACCTGAGTTCAAATGCAGCCTCAGACACTTGACACTTACTAGCTGTGTGACCCTGGGCAGTCACATAACCCTTATCGCCTCACGAAAAAAAATAATAATAACAATAATAATGACAATTAGTTAAAATAGAAAATGAACATTGTTCATGATACCCAGCTGTGCACCACTATGGTAACCTATGAATCACTATGGTAACTGATCCCTCCTCCCCCTTGACTGAAATTGTCCTAATTACTTGTGGTGTGATTGCTTTTTCACATCGCAAGTTACAAAGCTGATCTGAAGACTTGCTGCTTGCCCCAGGTGTCAAAACTACTTGCTACATCTCTGGCTGGTAGTAGAGCCTCTACACCAAACCTTCCAACAAAGGAAACAGGCCAGGAGAGGTTAAGCGAATTGCCCAACATCATACAGATGGGAAGAAGCAGAGTTAGAAATGGAACCCAGGCCCTTTGACTCCAGACGCCACTGGCTCTTCCCACCAGACCCAACAGTCATTCCTCCCCCTCCTCCACCCTCTATTCGCCCCTCTCACCATCCCCAGGGGAGCTGGGGCTTGGATGCAGGGTCCATCTCAACTCCGCCTCCAGTGCCACATTCTCTTCTACCAGGTGGTCTAGCTGTTGTCGGGCGGATTCCAACTCCTGGGGATCCCCAAGAGAGAAAGGATTTCTTACCCCCACACACAGCACACAAGAGCCCCTTAGTATCTGTTTGGGCCAAGGGGTCTCAGAGTTAGGAGCCACTCAGTTTGGAAGCCACCCGGGATCGGGGTCGGGGTCATCTTGCCCTCACCACTTGTGCCTCCCCAAGCCGTGCCCGCAGCAAGAGGTTCTCCCTCTGGGTCTCATGGAGACGTGAGCAGCGCTCCCGGGCGCCTTCCAGCTGCTCCTCCAGCAATGCCCGGGCAGCCTCCAGAGCTCCTGACAGGGCCCGCTCCTCCTGGGAAGGCAGACCAGATCAGGAACAGGCCTATTCCTGGAGACTGTCTACTATAAGCCCCTGGCTACACAGAAGGGGAAACTGAGGCCCAGAGAGGCTAGGACCTGTCCTAGGTCTTTAGTAGCAGAGTGAGGATTCAAACTCAGTCGTCCGGCTTCAAATCTCCACTACCCTACACAGCCTATCCCAGGCCCTACACAGATACTAACAATAACAACAGAAGCTCACATTGATTAGTATTTAACATGTGCAGAGACCTTTTCATACTTGAGGTGATTTAGTTCTCACAACAACCTGTGATGTAAGTTCTATTTATCACCCCCATCTGCACCCAGAGGTTAGGGGACTTCTCCAGTGGCGCATACAGCTAGTAGGAGTCAGGAGTTGAACCCATGACATTCTTACTACCCATCAGACCATGCTGCCTTTAGCCCCTTGGCCAGAATCCTATACCTGAGAAAGGGAAGTCTGGTCTTTGCCACTTATTAGCCGTATGACCTTGGGCAAATAACTGCTCTGGGCCTCAGTTTCCCCATCTGTCAGATGAAGGACTCTGGACTGTAAGGATCCTTCCACCTCTCTACGTAGGATCCTCCCCCTGGACCTTACTTAATGGCCAGGCCCCGCCCCCATCCCACCTCCCTCACCTCCAGCTGGCCCTTGTAAGCCTCGGCCACATGGAGCCTCTCCCGGCACCTCCGGAGGTCCTCCTGCAGCCGGGGCAGCCGCCCCGCCCGTTCCCGAAGCACCTCGGCCTCCTCTCGGTACAGAGTGGCTCTCCTGGCCTGGCCTGACAGCACCTGGGCCTGCAGAGCAAAGAGGAAGCTGGGAATAGGACAGGGAGCAGAGGGGCGCGTCCCTTCAGGCCTGGGGAGAGCATGGAGGGCGTAGGGCAGTGGCAAAAAGGATGCCAGAGCCCAGGGAGAAGGAGGGAAGTCCAGCAGAAGGAGGGCTGCCAGGCCTAGGCCTAGGGTCAAGGATGGAGTGGGCATGCAGGGTGAGCCAGGGGAGGAGAGCCCCTCAAAGGCAGCGGGGGAGGGGGAGGGGGAGGGGGGGGGGGGGGGGGGGGGGAGGGGCCCTACCTCCTGCCGCAGCCTCCGGATCTCAGACTCCAGCCCCTGCACCTCCCCCTGGGAGTCTAACAACTCCTCAGCCTTCTCTTCCCTGGAAAAAGAGGGACAGAGGCGGTGAGGGGGCACTGTGGTCATGGGAGGCCCCTGAGAATTCACTGCCCAGCCCCCCCCATTAACTGCCCATCCCCCCCGCCCTGCCCCCGGCCCCCCCCCTCCAGCCAGCCCCAGCCCCCCAGCTCTGGCTCCTCCCCTCCAGCCGGTCTAGTTCCCCAACTTTGGCTCCTCTCCCTCAGCTGTTCCTAAGAGCGGCGTCACTCACAGCTCCTGCCTCAGCCTCCTGAGCTGGGCCTTGGCATCTGCCAGCTGCAGAGTGAGGTGGTGGTGAGGTCCCTCCTGAGACACCCCCTGGGGGGGTTCTGGCTGGAGGGAGGGCACCTCTTGCTCCTGCAGCATTTCTGCCAGGCGCTGAGGGGGTGGGAATGGGCTCCGTGTAAGGACAGGAGGAGTCACCATGCCCTTCTCTGTCCCCACCAAACCCACAACAGACAAAGTGACCCCAGACTCCTGCCCCCATCCTCCTAGGACCTAGGACCCTAGCCCCCACCTCCAGCTACCTCTGCCCTCTGGGGCTCCAGAGTTGGGTTCCTGTTGCTTCACCCGAGCCCAGCTCCTCTGAGATAAGATGCCCCAAATAAAACATGAGCAATTATTATTATCATCGCTGTCATAACTTCACCGGGACAATCCCAGGCCCCTCCAGCACTGGCCCCAGCACCCAGCTGCCCCCAGGCTCCCACACCACAATTCCTGATTTGGCCTGCCCCTGCCCACAGCCCAGGCCTGGCCTGGACTTTGCTCCGTACCTGGGCTGTCCGGTCTCGCTCCCTCGCCAGCTTCACTAAGGCCTCCATGTGGCTTCGGACCAGCAGCTCCAGCTCTGGGCCGGCCAGCTCCCCTGGCTCAGGCCCTGCCAGGGCCAGCACCATGCCTGCACCTGGCTGGCTCACCTGGGGATGGAGGGAGAGCTAGGTTTGGGCTAGCCTGCAGAGGGGGCCCAAGAACTTTAGCCTTTGCAGCTGGGGATACAACGCCCAGGCTGGGCCTCTCCCTGCTTTACCACAAGCCCCCACCGCAGGCTGGAGCACAAAGCACTTATCTATGGAAATCTGGCTCTTCCTTCATGGCTGGCTCAGTGCCCCCTCCTCCAGAAAGCCCTCTGGGCTTCTCAGCTGAGATTCTTCTCAGTGTCACAAGGCTGGACAGCCAAGCTGGTATTTGAACCCAGGTCCTTTTAGCCCCAAACCCTGCTCTCTTCCTACAGCCTCACCGCTCTTTGGGCCCAGGGTCCCCTTCCCTTCCTGCCTTGTCTTGACTCATACTGTAGACCCTCCCCCAAGAGAATGGAAGGTCCTGGGAGGCAACCCCTGGCTTTGTGCCTGGCACATGGCCTGGCACCAAGCAGGCTTTTGATAAGGGCTCATTTGGAAGATAACAGGGTGCAGTGGAGAGATAAGGATGTTGGGTGGGGAGCCAGAGAACCTGGGTTCCAGGGCTGGGTCTCTACCAGCTCAGTACCCGCGTGACCTTCCCCTCTCTGGGCCTCAGTATCCCCATCTAGAGAATAAGGTGAAGACACGATGAATCCAGGACCTGTCCAGCTGGGACCCTCTGGTCCTGGACCGTGGGGAAGGAGGAGGAGGGGAAGGCCCAGGCTAGGTGGGGCTTACCTCCTGGATGGCAGCTGCCAGCTCACTCTGCACCCCAAGGCTGAGTCCCTGGATGTGCCGAATAAAGAGTTCCCGGTGTTCACACTGTGGAGGAGGAAGAGGGGGAGTTATCTGGGAGAAGGGATCCCCATTTATGACCCCTCAGCCAATCCACCCCTACAGAGATGCCCC